ATTAACTTCCATAGCTCTACTAATAGTCCGAATCAGGATTTGTAATAATTCCCTCGGAGGACAACTAAGTGTCCCCACTTCCCTGGAACGTAGGGCGTGGTAGGTAGAAGGCGATGCTTAAAGTCATATGTTTTTTGTCTTAAGTGTTATTTTCAAAAGAGTAGTTAATTTTATATCTATAGAAACTTATATGTTCTTTATAAATTTATACATTCTAACCAAAAGTTAAACTAAACGAAAAATATACTTTTGATGTTGCTTTTCAAACAAAACAAATTTTAGATTTGAATTCCCTACACCCGATTGTTTCTTAGTGTAATTTATAAGGTTCGATGAACAAGAGAGGTAAGTTAAAAAAAAAATAAATAAATAGAAAATTCAACGCTGTGCAATCTTTTAAGAGAAAAAATATTAAATGTATACATATCACTTTCATCGCTGTGGAAATCGGTGCTTAACTCAATAATCTTAAAATTAACTTGAATCATTTCGTTAAGAGGAAACATGCTCGCTTACACTATTAATTTAGAAAAATCATTGGATTAAAAACTTTATCATTTGGTTATCAAAAGTTTGTAAAATCGTCTTTTAGAAGAAAAAAAATTTCTTGATATTTATCTTTTTCCTCTGGTGATGTTCCCAGTGTTGCCAACGAAATATTAAATATTTATGACAGTTTTAATGTTATTTTAACTCGCTTTGTTTGGTTTGATTTCATGGGTCATTGAATTATTTGATGGGTTTTTTTCTACTTTTGTTTCTACATTTCTACCAAATTCAACTCTAATAAGTATATTTATATCAGAATTTGTAGAAAATAACTGTTCTTTTACGTATTTATATAAAACTTGATATCAATCATTTGAGTTTTTTTTAATTTTATCTCATAACTACATAGTTTCCAACCTTTTCGCTTGTTGTGTTTGTCATTTTTCCACTGGTAGAGAAATTTATGTTTGAATAAATTATTGTTGATTTCATAAATATGATTTAAAACGATTTTCATTATCATGACTTACAAATTACTAAAATGCATTCATTAGAGACGTGCGTAACATTCAATATGCTGTCAAAATCTAACAAATTTATGCAAAATTACAAAAACACGTAAAATGAAATTATTTGTATCCATTTAAAATTTTTGTGTTATAATCTACATGTACAATATAAGGGGAAAAAAGTTAAGAATAATTATAATTACATTAAAAGTAAAATTTTGAGTTTTACTTAGAATTGTAGATTTGCTTTCACGATCTCCATCTTCTGCTCGCTTCGCCTACCATGCCTTAACCCCTTGAGGACGGGTGATTCAGAAAAGCATTCGTACAAAATCAGAATCAGGATGTAATTAAATTAAAAAACGGTAACTTAAATGTAGTCGTTGCTAATTTGACAGACTTACTTTGCTTTTGCTTTAATTATTGTTAGTTTAACCATATATATAATCAATGTTAATTCAAAGTATTACTAAATACAGTCAATTCGCTATAACTCGAAGTACGATAACTCGAATATTACTATAACTCGATTTTTTTATGAGGTCCCGACCCTTTTATCTTCAATTTCATGTTAATTATTCTCGATTACTCGAATTTTACTCCCTTTAACTCGATTTTTTTTGGATCTTTTAAAGCAAGAAAAAAAACCTAGGAGCTGATATCTTGCCCCCTCTTTTGCAACACAAACACACAATGTCTTTCACACTATTCATGGAGAAGCTAAAGCTGTCCCTCTTGAAGTATGTAAACAGTGGTTAAATGAAACGTTACCAAATTTACTTCAAGGATACAGTTAAAATGATGTTATCAATATGATGAAATGGGTTTATTTTTTAAATGTCTTCCAAATAAGACTATGATGTTTAAGGATTAAAACTACTCAGGGGATAAAATGAGCAAAGAACGTTTGACTGTGCTAGTTGAAAGAAATGCGTCTGGGACAGAGAAATTGCCCTTACTTGTTATCGGAAAATACCAAAATCCCCGATGTTTCTCTTGTGATACTCTTTATGGATAAATGCACAGCGCATAGTGTGCATAGTGTTCTACTTAATTTGAAAGCAATAAACTTGCAGTTTCTCCCGCCAAACACAACAGCAAAGTTGCAGCCGATGGACCAGAGTATTATTAAGTGCTTCAAACAGTCTTATCGTAAATGACATGTCAGAAAAATAATCTTAAATATTGTAAGCATTTAGAGGATTTGTAATTAATAAGCATTAATTAAATAATCCGACAATATTTTGAAAGTCCAAAACCGAAACTAACGGTAAGTCGAACTTCCGATATGTCGAAATTTTTTGTCAGTCCTATCAGATTCGAGTTATCGCGAATTCACTGTAGTTTTATTTTGAACGAAGTAATGGTGAATTAAATAAATCAAACAATTGTAACTCCGCCCACAAATAAACTGCTAAAGAAATACTTTGATTACCAGTTTTATCTTTTTACCCTAATTCATACATTTTTATGCTGGCACGTATTAGTGACAGTCGGCGCGAAAGGGATAATGATTCCATCTTAGTCACTTTTATTTCCAGGCGATAAATAGATAGTTTGATCAAAATAATGAATTACTTATTTTTAATGTCCCAAGTTTTTTTTCTATATTTTATTAACGAATACTCGGTCTCATTCATGTATTGTCTTTGTAAATAGAATAAGCGTTTCAAGGTTATAGTCATCGAGTTAATCATGGGAGATTTTCGTAGTTTTACCCCATTTATAACTTGAAAAGGGTTTCGTTTTACCTAAAAAGTTTCATTTTACATAAATAGGAAGTTGAACTTTCATGCAGCCACAACCGGTTGTTCAACACTGTAGATAACGACAATCGTTAACTGCCTTTATTTTTTTTAAAAAATGCATATCTGATTTATAGTTTATTGAATTTAACATGAATATATCTTGAATAAATGATATTTGAGTTGAATATGGATTTTAAGTTGGATTTTATGATGATTGTTTTGTATTTATGATGATTGTTCGGATAAGTTGGATTTTATGACGATTTTGGTTGAATTATAACGCAATAACACAGAGGAAAGTTCTCTTATTCTTAACGTCCAGCTTCTTCATTTCTAAAACTGTTAAAAAAATTGGCAAAGTTTCGATTTTGTAGAATGAAATTTCGAATTTGACCGAATAATTAATAAATATATAATTTCTTAGCTTCAATAAGTTCCGCAGTGGACTGATCGTTAAGACACTGTTTCCAGTAGAACACCGAAGTCAAGCATTACTGGCTGCGAAGGGACCAAAGGTGCGCGGTTTTGGTCCTCGCTAAACTGTTCTACCGTAAAGTGCTCGACTTCGCTTGCAGGTCGTCGGGCTACAAATGCGAGGATGCCAACCCATAACCATCTAGAAAGGAGGAGGCCTTGACAGCAGAAACATGAGTCATCAATTCCGTCGATACCTACTTGGGGGGAAATGTCTGCTAAGATACGCGTTCTCACAGCTATTAAGCTAGTTATTGTCAGACAATGAATTTCAATGAACAAGGTTCGAGTAAGAGTCAGAGATCACGAGTTCGAAAAACCTCTGAAGGAGGGAGTTCGAACATTTAAAAATAATTCGAAGACAGAATTTGCATAGTATTAATTTTGAATGTGTAAGTACCCTCATTATGCAAGTGTTATTTTGTATATATATAACAAATCAAGATTGGATTTGGAGTTTTTGTTTCGTTTGATTTTCATGACTGTATGTATTGAATACGTTACCTCATGTTATGGAGAGGATTGTTTTCCTTTATGATGTTTAAGTTAAGTTATGATTTTTCTTGCTAATAAAATTTATGATTAGTTAAAAGATGACTTTTTCATTATGCTTGCTGGGCATTTTCCACAACGCACTAAACTCTGCCAGCAAGGTTATGGGCCATGCCTGCCCAGCTTAGTTAAGCTTTTGTCGTCTT